ATTGAGGAACAGTAGTTATTAAAGAGTTAATTAAATTCAACATATAATTAAAACAAATACATATAACTTAATATAACTGATGTATTTGAAAAAAAAATAAAATTGATACTATACATAAAAAAAAATTAAAAAATGATTAATTTAATTAACTTTTAATTTAAATAAGTTATATACTTTGTTTAATTAAAATAAAAATATAAAAAATAGTAAACACTGTGTTAAAGAATACATGATAGAAGATAATATAATGGAGAGGAGTTTAAAATAGTATCAAACAAGAATTTTATTTTTTAATAAAATCTTAAGAGAAAAAAATAATGCTTTGATTGAACAAATAAAATAAATTAAAATCAGGAAATTTAAATGAAAAATATCTTCAACATAATCTTTATAGTTAATTTTTTTCTAATTTAAAAAAAAAAAGAACTATAGGTTCTATTCATATTTTTTACCGAAGTCTTAACATGTTTTTTTTTATGAAAATCATTATTTATAAAAAATACCTAATACTGGTATATTTATACATATATTATTGAAGTTTTTAAAATGTAAATACATTATTTTGAAGAATTTAACATTTAACATAATTTCTAGAAGTTTAACAAAAAATTAAATGTTATATGTATGTTTATTTCTTAAACGGACATCATCTAGTATAATAACTTATGAGTTGAATATATTTGTACAACAAGAAAAAATGTTTTACGATTTTATTGCCATACTTGTAAAGAAAAAAAGGTACATACTTTTATGTTAGGCACCATCCCAAGAATGAAACAGACAAATTTCACGGTCCTCATTGTTGGTCTTTTGACACGTTTTATAACTTTATTACGAGACTAAGAGAAAAAAATTATCCAACCTTGAAATTCTAACATTTTGTTCAGATTTGTTTGTTAAAAAGGTCTTTTCAAAATATATAATATGCTGGTAATCACCGATTTACTCGTACAACAACAATTCTTTTCCATTTTTACGTATGGACATCATTTTGGAGGTCGAAATAATAACTTATTCCATACGTACTGAAGAGTAACTGGTAAATTTAAAAAAAAACTAATTTAAAAATAATTTTGTTTCTATCTTTAGTCGGTTTTGATCCACTTTAAACAAATATATGAAAGTTATTTGTTTATTAATTTATTATATACTTGCGTTATCGACATCACCATGCCATAATTTGCTGATAGATAATTTGGAAAAATGATGATATTTCGACGTTAATTAAAATGTTCGTACATCAAAAATAAATATTGAATTAGTTCAAATATATTTATTTTTTGAAGTTATGTTTCATTAAATAAATTGAAATTAATAATATTTTATTTTTTTCATCAATAATTTATTTATAAAAATATTTAAAAATAACAAAATAATAATAAAATGCAATTTTGTGACCATTATCAGCTATTATTATACAGTCTATGATACAAATAGAAAGTTTTTATATTTTATTAAGTTAAAAAGGATCTATTAAGAAAATTAAATTATTGTAAATACATTACTTCTACTTTTTTAATTGCTTACATTAATTCTTCATAGTTTTCACAATCAAAGAAATGATTATAATTAATTTTTGAATTAGTTTAAACAGAGCGAAGTGAATTTTACAACAAATTAGCCTATAATAGCAACATATAAGAGGTACATTTAGGGTCTCTAGTAGTAGGTACTCAAAAGCATATCAGTTCTACAAGTGTTAATATTATTTATAATTACATTTTATTTTATTATCACTTAACAACTGCAGCAGGCAAAATTATTTACGGATGGATATACTTATGTTCTGTTTAAAATGTGGAAAAAATAGGATAGCTAAAAGTTGTGAGATTATATGGAGTTCATTAATAAGTATCTAGATAATACTTTTGTAGACAAAATGGTATACGTATATTGCACAAGCAAATATATATATATATATCAATTATTTAAATTAAAATATTTAAAATCCTAATTGAAACAAGAAATATACTGGTTTTACCATGCGAAATTTTTTTTGTCAGTATATTTGATTTTGACCAGGATTACTACCATCATCATAAAATAAAAAGTAAAATATAGGAAATGAGTTCTATTTAATACTTTGAAGAAGATAATTTGACAAATTTCTTATTAGATTTCTAAATAATTGCGAAAAATGACGAAAATTTAATATCGTAACTTAAAAAATAATAATCATAAACTTGAAATTTTCATTGAATTAAACCAACACTTGCTAAAAATGATTTATAAAATATTTTTATGAGTTATTTGAAGAATATTAAAAATGTCATACTTTCTTACCTTTTTTTCAAAAATATCGAAAATATTAAAATATTTAAGCTAGATTTCAAAATAAAATTCATGGGCGTTTACATTTTAAATGTTGACAACACTATAAACAAACACGTATCCAAAGGGGAATCCATGGAGTCTTGCTTCCCCCCTCGAAATTTTTGTGTGTGGGCATATAAAATCATAATCCTTAAAATTTAAATAAAAATAAAATAATTTATTATTAAATACGTGTTATTCAAAAATATTTTATTGTATTGTGATACAAAATTTAACCATAATAGAACAGTCGAATTTCGAATATTATTTTATCACAGATAGCCGATGTTTTGAAAGTTAGAAAATCTTAACATATTTTGCGAAGATCATATATCTGAAAAAGTGGTTAGGTCTGAATTTTTATTATGGTGTGATAAATGGATAAACGTAGAAAAAAATCCACTGAAATTATGGATATTTGGGGTGCATTTGATGCAAAGTATTATCCAAGCATTTATTTTTTATTAAAAATGTTGGCTGTATAACCATTTTCAACACTTAACACTTAAAAATATTGTATCTTAATAAAACTGGAAATGAGCGTTTAACGGGACGTGCTCTTATGTCAGGGGATTGGAAGTGTTTACCTCTACAGACGAAGTATCGGATATAATGGCTTAAAATACCAAAAAATATATATTATAGACATTAATTGAAAACATAAAATAATAATAGATTGTATTGTAATATAAAACATTTGTTAGTTTATAGTAAATAAATAAAAGGTTATACATATCAATCCGGTATGGAAATTGTATTAAAATTTATTGAGACTTCCCCCCCCCCCCAAAAAAAAAAAATCCTGGCTATGTGTCATTACGATAAAAATCAAGAAAATCTGCTACATTATTGTATTTATAATATACAGCTCATAAACGTTAAATTTTCATACTGATGACAAAAATATTGGATTCAAGATTTTTCATAAGATTTTCTATGTAGGTAGTGAATGAAAAGAAAATTACTAGAAAGACGTTAAGTTTTTATAAAAATATTATAAAATGAAATTTTAACAAAATCAGACATTTCAACGAATTTCTGAACTATTTAATTGTTATCCAATTAATATTAATTGTAGTGACATGAAATATTTATAAAGTACTCATGTCGGAATTTTAAAGACACGTCATAGTTTCGAAATATTTTAATGAAAAAAATGCTTTTTAATAGGCACTTGAAATTTTCGATTTCTCCCAAATCAGTTATTGTTTGATAATACAAAGGAACACATAATAACATTTTAATGTCATTTACTTTCCTACCTACATGAAATTTTATTTATGAAGATTAAAACATAAACGTATCCTCTTTCACTTGGAATGATTTTGTCGAGTGAAATGATACATTGGTTTCAAATTTAAAAGACCAATACAGCAATATCATACACTCATACCTGTTGTATTTAACCCGACCGTGAAGTCTGATCCGACCTAGGAGTTTCACTCTTTAATGCGTTTCGCTGAATTCAAGAAATTGAATCTAACAAAAAAAGTAAATATCGACGAACGAAGATCGATATGTCATCGACATTATTTAAAATACACGTAGACATAAATTATGTATAGTTATATCGGACTATCTATTTATTTAAATTCTCTATTGGCTGGCATAAATAAAAACGTTTATTTTTTAACTTTTAAACACGTAATTACAGTAATGTAACAATTAAGTTATAAGGATGTTAAGCAAGTGAATATGAATTTAGGTAATTATTTTCATTAAATAAAAATCGAAATTAACGGTTTTAAAATATTAATTAATAAGTAGATAAACTACTACATTTAAGAAAGATTCTGGACAGGGCAAAGCAAATTATATGATAAAAACATAAACAAATTATAAGTCACAATTAAATGTGTACAATCGCTAAATTCACATTGTGCATTTTTGTGTATTATGCATTGTGTATTTTATGATGTTTTACAAGACTCGTACGGTAATGGCATAATTTTTCTCAACAATCAATCGATAAGGTAAGTTGGAACCGGTAATACGGCCATTATTTTAATGATGAATTCGAACCACCGTTACGAAGCATATCAGTTATAGAAAACGTAACAAATAATATTCAGCAGATAAAGTGTAAGTATGCAAATATTATGTAAAATATTTAAATTGAAAAAAACCCGTTTTAATTCATTACGTATGATGATAAGATCGGAAAAATAGTATTTTTGAACGAGTAAAAATAATTATTTGATTCTACCACTGTAGAATTACGATTTACCTGACCTACGTAATATTGAAATAGAAACAATTCTATGTACCTAAACTTTTATCAACTAAGCAACGGAACAAAAAATTCTCAAGTCAAACTGAAAAATATATTCGTCACGCGGTGACCTGAAACACCGTTTACCTAATGATATAAATTGTTAACAGGCCGAAAACTTATTACGAGTTATTATGAATTTTCATAAATTTAACTGACCGATGAATACGGAGTGCAGGAGCATAAATTCGTGCGGAGCTAGTTCACGGATCGAACTTTTACGATTATTCTACTCTAGAGTCTAAGAAAGTTGACATGTAGACATAAGCCGCGAGTCTACGAAGATGTCACACATATCAAACATAAATAATTTGATAAACTAGTAAATATAAAAGTATATATAAACTATAGATCTAGATACGCAAAACGTAAGTATAAGTATTTAACACAATACTGTGTATAAAATAAAACTCACCTGACGAACAATTGTTCCTGATTGTTAACTCTCCAGGATACTATGGTGGCACCTGTAAGATAAATTTTTTTTTAAAAAAAAATCGAAAGTGAACGGTCATACGGGGTGAAAGTGTAAAGTGAAAATAAACAGAAAGGATTATCGAGCAGACATTACGTGACGGATCTCACATACGTACTCAGGTAGCAGGTACATAATACATTTTTGGTCGGCAAGATACACTTACATACATACACACACACACACACACACACACATAATCGTGATGAAAGTGTCGCAATCATAATTGGGTACGTTTATTTATTAAGAAAGGATACCAAAGCCCGGAGTCGGTACGATCGCCGAGCCAGGTCGGGGCAACGTCAAGACGGTCGGACTGATTCGGAGACGACACTGCCGACATGGTATTTACCGTGCAAGTTGATGGTACATGTTGTGTTGTTGCCTCTGTCGAGCACCACTACGCTGGACACTGAAGCAGCCATCGCGGAAGCCGGTTGAAACACAAATGATACGGAATGATAATGAAATCCAGGCCGCTCGGATCCGAGGCCCGCCGTTATCAGTCGTCAGCGAGCGCCGCCACCACCAGCGAGTGGTGCCAATCGGCGACGCTCCAGTGCGGCCACCTGGCCGCGCCGGAAAACACTCCGACTCGTTATAGTACTATGATTATCGTTGTTGTCCGACAACAACAACAACAGCAATAATAATAATAATAATAATAATAATGACGATATTGTTATTGTTATTATTATTAATTTCCACTGCCGCCGCCGCCGCCTACCGGGATTGCGTCCGTGCGTGCTTTACGCGTCCAGTGCACAATAGCAGGCCCCGTCGAATACGCTTTGGTAAACCGTTTTGCGTACGATCGTCGGTCGGTTCGTTTCGCACGTGAACGTCTCTGACGACCACTGCGGTCCCGGAACACGATCACCACGCGCCGAGTCGAACAATAATTCGTTGCACGTCGGCTCTACAATCATATTTTCGCTCTGCCCCCGCATAAAAAATAATCGCAACGGATAACGCGATCCTTGACCCGATACTCTTATCCGCAGCGGTTAGTCGGTGTACCGAAAACAACGTGTCGAATCGAGTATTTGAATCGGTTTTTTCGGAATCCGGCCGCCGGTCATTTTGTCGCCGACTGGTGACCGCCAAAAACTCGGTTCACCGCCTTTTTTCTCGCTTACCTTAGCGTTTCTCGTTCTCGCGCGCGCAAACGGAACCCTATTATCGGAACACTATCGCACAGGGGCGGGGGAGACCAGAGATAAGGCTGACGTAATCTCCGGTGCGCGTCGTGATCCCAGCCGAATAGCCGAGGAACAGTAGTCGCCCGCGCCCGCGACCTTGCAACCGGCCCGATTCGAAATCCTATTACCGAAAACATTATTCGTCTGCCGGCCGTAAACGTTTCGCGCGCGCCTCTCGTCGACAACCGTTCGCGTTCCCCGGGGTCGCCGTAGTGCAGGTATGTCGTCACGAGTCGGCCGGTACCTCCCGTATCCGTGTCCGCCGGAGGTCCGAGGGTAGGGCGGCGCGCGCTTGGTGTGTTGTCCGCTCATCGATTATTCGCGTACGGCACCGTGTAATCGTTCGTGTATTTATCGCCGGTCGCCTGCTCCGCCGCCGTTCCGGCAGCACTACTACGTTTTCTCGGCCGCTGCCCGCCAACCGCATTACGCGGTCCGTCCATTGTCGCTCCGTCGTCTGATAACGTTGCACGCCGACCCTGGCACTGTCGCGGTTCCCGCTAACTCCGTCCCGTTTTCTCGTTTGCCCGCAGATCGTCCGCGGTGGATTGCTTGCGACCTCTGTTCCGCCGTCCCCCCAATACCATGATGAAGTTCGGCAGCAAGCACTCGGGTAACGCGCCCATCAAGTGCACCGTCCGTCTGCTGGACGATACACAGTTGCTGGACACCGAGTTTCAGGTACGGGCATCGTGTGCCGCGACAGCGTAGAGCACGTTAAACTGCTCACGACCGACATTTACACTTGTGTTTTCTCGGCATCCATTCGCCTACATTTTGCTTAAAGGTCAACTTGATATAACTCGATATTCACAGTATCCATCGTTATTTCATTAGCCGTTATCCGTTATGAATACCAAATCTATTACCTACGTGCATTTACAAGTTCGTTAATATTCTTGATTATGGTCAATTTTATGTTGATATTGCATTTATTTCCTTAAGATTTCACAAAATCGTGTTGTTTAAAACGTAGATTTAAATAGATGCATTATTAAATATAATTTAATCTATGTTCAAATGAATCCATTTATTATGATTTCTATTTATAAATAAAATGTTTGAACTTTATGTGTGTAATGCAAGTAGGTTTGTTAATAGTTTAGTAATATAATCATAGATATTATTTTATCGTCATTCAATTAGGAGTGTATGATGTTTCGACATTTTATCTAATTAAAACACTAAATATGTTTCAGATAAGTTTTTTATTATATTTGTATCAATTGATCATTAAAAATATTTCTTTTAAATTTTACTTATCTCTAAATTGTTATGTTTAGTTACATGTATTACATGATAACTATGTGTATATTATTGATTATCATAGTTAAAATGTATTAGTTTTATTTACGAGTAGCTAAATATTTATGATAATAATTTAAGTATAGGTATTTATTTTATTCAGTTATTACATCAACATACTAATTTAATCAGTTTGAAGGCTCAATATTTTTAATAACATGCATAAGATTAACAATTTAACATAATATGTGGTTTCATTATTAGTGTAATAGGTTTTTATAATTATTTAATGATTCTATTACAAAGTTTATACGTCCCGAATAAGTAATAACCTGTATGCCACATATATACCTGTAAATTGATTATTTTATATTTTTATTTATACATAATCCCTGTTCAAAATATCTAGTTGTAATACCTATATTATAAAACACGACATGATGATATACCTACTACAATTTATGGTTCAGTTATATAAGACTACTTATATAATATTAGAACAATTGATTGATGATGTTACTATTTTCATTTAACTTGAAAAGTAATTATTTTAAACATATATTTTATGAAAATCATAACTTCTTTTAAATGTTTTCAAAATTAAATTAATTAAGCTTTAAATTATTTTCGAGTTTTTATATTTATATCTACATTTTAAACAAAAATATTCAATTATAATTTGAAGTGTTTGTATTCAGACTAAAAAATAAGATTCTTAATTTATATTGTTTATCAAAAATGTGTATATAATCTTAGAAGTAATTTGTAATTGTTATTTAAATATTATAAGTACCTACAACCCATTTTTTAATAATTTTAAGAGTCAATTATTATTGGAAATAATTAGATACATTATTAATTCATTATTGCATAGTTTAAAATTAATGATAACATTTATTATATTATTATTATAAACAATAAACAGGGCAATAAATTAGTAACTTTAATTATAGTGGTCTAGTGTTATAAATTATTAAACGTATACAAATAATATTTTGTTATAATCTATGTGCAGCTGTTTGAATATATACATGTTAGTAATAATAAATATTTGTTTTTGTTTTTAATTTGTAGATAAATGAAAAAGGCAGTAGTTTGATAAATCGTGTGTGCGAGCAATTGGATTTAATCGAGAAAGATTATTTTGGTTTACGCTATGTTGATAGTAAACGCCAAAGGGTATATAGATTTTGATAATTGTTATTATAGTATATACTATTTAATGCAATGTTGTTGGTGCAAAAATATATGCATTTCATTCATGCCATTCAATTTTAATTAACATTAGAATTTTCATTGTAATGTATTAAAGAAAATTGTATTAAATACTGTATCTATTATTTTCTTAATAATAAATTATAACCTTTATTAATTAGTTATTTTTTAATTTTTTCAGCACTGGCTCGAACCATCAAAATCAATTTTTAAACAAATTAGAGGTTCGATAACTTATAATTTTTTATCTGTATTGTATTGTTTTAAAATGTATTTACTTTTTAGACATGGAAGCAGACAATATATTATTTAGCTTCCGTGTAAAATTTTATCCACCAAATCCATTTCGTCTAAAAGAAGATATTACTCGTTATCAAATTTATCTTCAATTGAAAAGGGATTTATTACATGGCCGACTTTATTGTAATACATCTGAAGCAGCTCTATTAGGAGCCTATATATTACAAGGTAATAATTTCAATATTACAAAGATTAAAATAATAATTCTATTATAATTATATTGTATGACATTAATATTTTTATCATTAGCTGAACTTGGTGATTTTAATCCAGAAGAACATATAGATAACTATGTGAATGAATTAAAAATATTATTAAAACAAACATTGCAACTAGAGGAAAAAATTATGGAGATTCATAAAAATGATTTAAAGGGAAAAACTGCAGCTGAAGTTGAAACTTTATTTTTAAAAAAAGCATGCGTTTTAGATACTTATGGAGTAGATCCTCATGCTGTTAAGGTATAAAATATAATTTATCTATTTTAATTTATGATTTACAATTATTTTATTTTATTTTAGGATCAAAGAGGAAATCAACTTTATTTGGGTATTAATCATACTGGAATACTTACATTCCAAGGCAGTAAGAAAATGAATCATTTTAGTTGGTCTCAAGTTCAAAAAATCAACTTTGAGGGTAAAATGTTCATAATTCATGTCATTCTTAATGAGGTATTTTATTTTAAATTGCATTCAATTTATTTTGTATTTAATATTTATTATTTAAAATATTGTATCCTAGTTTATTTACTGTATTTAATTTTTTTTTTTTTTATGTATTTACTATTTACATGCTTCTTAGGACCAGAGAATTAAGGTAGTTACTGTAAAATAATTATTTTTAGAATAGTTAAGAAAATGTATTTAACATCACTTTCCATTATTCCATATGATTATCATATATCAGTTTAATTAGTATTAAATTAAATGTATAAATTTCTACTATGTGAAAACATAATATTTATTCTTTAATTTAAAGTATTGTTAGGGATTGTGAGCTATGTTCAAGTGGGATAAGGTAGCTATCATCAATTTGACTATATCACCAGTCAATTAGCTTGACTTTTAGTTTTCTAATGTTGCAATAACAACATGCCAATAAGCTATAGATATTACAACCTTTCATTTAGTATTATTAATTAGATTCTTGTTTCATTGTTATACTAATACTATTTATAGTTTTTGTTACATAATATCAAAATTACTTAATATTTCATTTTTACTATTATGTTGCTTTGTTGCATTCATGTGTACATGGTTTACTATTACACTATTTGGTAAAATAAACTTGTACTATATTAATAACCTTCTAACTTTATTTGTAATCCTACATAATAAATGTAGTTTTGGTTTATAAAAATTCTTTATTTTAGTTAAATATAAAGATTATTAGACATTAATTTATTGGTTTGCTAAATAATCAATAACATTTTACTGTAGTTTAATATGAATATTAATTAAATGTGTAATTTACTTTATATTAATATTAATGGTTGTGTATCTAGTTGTATTATTTTATTTCACTCAACATAAGATTTAAAATTAGTATAGCTATGTTACCTCGTCAAACTAATTTCCGTATGGTTCCTTGTAAAATGTAACTGATTGAAAATTAAAAACATTAAATTTAAAGAATATCATTAATTTAAATATAATTTGAAAACCAAAATTAAATAACAATTTTAGTTTTTATATTTATGATTTATTAAAATGAATTATATTTTTATAATGTAAATAATAACTAAATAATAATAATTAATAATAATAATAATGACCCTAATTTTTGGGTTCATCTTTTTCAAATTTCAGTAGAAAATTTGTATAAGGTGTGTCTCTATTTCAAATAGTAGGAATCTTAAGCCAGTTAATAAATTTATTGTTTTCATTATTATTTCTATGCTGTTGTTATTTTTAATTATTGCTAAATTATTCATTAAATAAACCATAAGATTTTTTTACAGATTTATAATAGTTTATTTACTAATTTAGCTTATTAAATCAATACATAGATTATAAATTAATCCTGTCAACAAACTATTAAGTCTATATTAATTAGAATCATTGATAGTTATTGATAGTAATAATATTTAATAAGATTCTAACTTTCAAAACAATATTATTTTTTAATATTTATTTGTAAATAACATAATACTATTTTTGTATTATGTTAATTATTAGTGTACACTTTCATAACCTTAATAATTTATTTATTATTTAATTTAACAATATTTATACATACTGTTGCCATAAATAAATTTAAATTTTTTCATTAAAAAAAATTGATTTTATTATATAATATTTTGTTTTAAATATAAGTTTTTTAATGTTATAAAAATATGTGTACAAATATTTTAGAAAAAACAAACAATTGGTTTCAAATGCCCTAGAGGTTCTTCATGTCGTCATGTATGGAAATGTGCTGTTGAACAAATGCTATTTTTCACGTAAGCTTTTCTTTAATAGTATAGAATTATATTTTTATTATAAGTTATTCTGATAAATATTATAAAATATATATTGTATCTAATAGTATTTATGTGAAATATTTTACATTGAATATTTGTGAATAAAGAAATTTGACTAAAATGTAAATTTAAATGTTGTAGATTTCCTTCAAGCTCCGATGTTCCTAATGTAGTTTCTGGAGGAGGCTTCTTTTCATGGGGTACTAAATTTAAATACAGTGGTCGTGTTGAACGTGAAATATTAGAGGATTTAACAATCACTAGAGAATCTCCATCTGTTACACGAGTAGGTAGCCTTAGACGAAAGTCATCAAGTGAACCAGTGACTCCCTCTAATATTGTGATCAATCAAGTTGGTATGTATATTCTTATTTTTTCTTTTTTTTTTTTTAAATGAAGCCTATAAATAAATATGTAGGCTTTTTTTTTAATTCGATCATTTTTTTTCAAATATTTTCCTTTCCATTTGTCATCACAACTTAATATTTTAAAATATTGTCCTGTGATATAGTCATACTAAATAATGTTTTAGTATTTCACTTAAATAAAATAAACTATCTCAGCTGTATCTTAAAAAATTTCATTTTATATAAAATTTATAATTTTCGTTAGAATATATTTTATATTTTTATTATTTTTAAATAATTATATTATTGTAAATTATTAATTTGCAGCAGGATTTAACAGTCTACCTCGGTTGTTAACAAATACCAATGAAGAATATAATTCATCTATTGATTCATCCACTCAAATCGATAATTCTTCTGTTTTAGAGACTTTATTAGAAGGCCAAGAGATAACTACACCCAAAAGTAAGATATATTTTTTATTATTTGAATACATTTATTGTTATTACTTAAAAATGTTGATAGCTTAAATAAAAATAGAAAAAATATTAAACATTTTATGTTAAAATATTATATAAGAAGAGTGATTTATAAATTATCAGGATTAAAAATTTTGAATTATAATTTCTTAGTTGAGGAAGAGGTCAATCATGAAGAAATCTTGAATGATCATTTACTGATTGGTAAGTGTCAGCTATTGGGTCGTATTTTGCTCATAATTGGTTCAATTTCACCTTCATATTTTTACTCATTGTAACTACATTAGATGCACATAGTCATTATCAAATATTCCTATTATTATTAAAAATAATTAACTCATTTACCAACAAATCTTACAATTCTTAAATATAATACTCGTATGATTGTTCTATTATAAACTTAATATGTTGTATTATGTAACAAATTTTTAATTTTTTACGTAGTATTTTTACTAAAATAATAATAAAGAAATATGTTAATTTTGATTGAAAAATTACAATTAAATTTAAGTATAGTTATTTTTTTTAAAAATTTTTAATTCATTTTCTACATTTCAATGATTCAATTTCATTAGTGTTAAATATGATTATTGATTATTTGATTATGATGGGTTTTCGAATTATTATAATCTCCATGCTTTTTCATGCAAATTTTTTTACTATTAATTATATATTTGATATACCAGATTTGAATAAGTAGTGCATTGCATAATTTTTACCAAAATAATTTTTGAAATGTATTCTTAATTTGCTTTTTGTTAGTTTATAACCCATCTTTAAAACATAATTTTTATTTACCTTATAGTATTGTATAAATAATTTGTATTAAAATTAAAATATTAATGCTTAATAATTTAAAATTATTTTATTAACATAATATATCCATATTTATGTATTTGGTTTAACTTTAATCAAAGTTTCAAATACAAATCAAACTATTACCCACTAAGAGTAAATGGATTATTTATTGTTTTATTCATTTTATTGTAAATTGAAAGTTCAATAAAATAATCAAATGGATCATCAAAAACATTTTACTGCATATAATTATATTATGAATAAAGGTTTAATTCAGTGCTTCCCAAACTTTTGACTCACAGCGCCCTTTTTGATTTAAGGTTTTTTCAAGGTGCCCTTCTCTAAGTCATAGCATGACTATTCATAAGGAAAATGTTAGACCCAATAGTATTTCATGACGGCGCGGCGCCCTTATACAGACATTGCGTCGCACCGGGGCGCTGCGGCGCACACTTTGGAAACCTATGGTTTAATCAGTATTGAATATATATGTTTGAGTATTAATCTGAAATAGGTGATGTAATCATTGATACTTTTTATTGTAATCATTTAAATTAATTTTATAAATAATGTTTAGTTTGTTTAAAATTAACCAAAATTAAAGTCATATCAATTTTATCAATTTTAATGCTTATTTGAAATTCACTTAAACTATTTTAAAATACTTTAATTTTTATAAAATGCCTTGTAAATAATTGTAGAATCTTATATCTCTTTTCTTTTAAAATATTAATTTGTTTTAAATGATAAGTAAGTTATTAAAAATGGATATTATCTCTCAATTTGCAAAATCATTAGATGATTAGGTAGTATCTATTAAAATTTATCACGTTTTTAAGTTTTTTTTATTAAAGTAATTTCTTTTATAAATTAATATCTTTTTAAATTTTACAATGATTTTTTTCCTTTTTCTTTTTTGTGTTAAAATTTTCAGGTATTTACCCATACCTCTATTCTTAATAAATATCTGAAAGTGTTTTCACATAGCTAAAATATGTTATTACAATGACTTTTAGGTTTCTGAACATATATTTATAACACCTTATATCAATGTTATGTTTATTCATCCATTAGTTACAGTGCATAGTTAGTAATTATTATTATTGATATTATTATATTATATTCATACTAGCCAGTATAAAAAAATTAGTAATAAAATATAAAAATTATTTTATTATAAGAAAATACTTAAAATATATTTCATCTAAATATCTATTTTGTATGTATATTTTTTTGCAAAACATTTTTGAGTTCTATGTTAAATTTTATATTATAAATTATAAATGAAGAATAACTAATGATCTCCTTCCTATTTTTCATTCTAAATTATTGTGTAACTTAATTGGTATTTTCACTATTGCAAGTATTAAAGTTAATAATTATTAAATACATAGTTGACATCAACCATTGTTCAAATATTTTTTGTTTTGATGAAATGATTAATTAGTACTTTTTATTTTGTATAAATAAGTAAAATTAGCACAATGACCATTGGTAAATCAAACAGCTAGATAACTCTTGTATGGGGGCTGGGTTTCAGATCAGAATAAACCTCCTTAATTATAATAAAACCCATTATTGTATTAATTGATGTGGGTTACTGTTAGTTTTTGGCTTAATTACTAATTAGATATTAAAATTATTGAGGAATTGAATCATTCTTAAATTATGTCAGCCTTGTTTAAGAAGTTTTATTTGTTATTTATAAAAATTGGTAATACATTTAGATAATTATATACATGGGGTTTAATTCAAATATTAAATTAAGCTATTTCTCCTTGAAAAAATCAAAAAGAAAAACTTTTACAATCAAAGGCTCATATTATTAATATTTTATTTATAAAATTAATCCAAAATAATAATATAATAGTTAAAATTGTAATTTGATTATACAATAATAAGGGAAACATTTATAACAACATTAATTACGGAATTTAAATAGTTACATTTGAGAATTATTTAAATATACTAAATTTCATAAAATTAATATCTAATAGTAACTTATATTTAGAGGTATAATTTCATGAGAATAACCTGAACAGAAAAATATTAATATTTATAGTATACATAAAAAGTATCATCATTCAAACCACAAAAATTAATTATTTTTAATTTCAAAGTCTTTTCTTTTATTTTGAAAAAAAGTTTTTTTATTTTATTTTCTTCTATTATTACTCTACAAGAGCTTTTGTTGTTATCAACATATTCTGCCATTTATATTGATCCAAAATTAGTTTTTATGGGTCTTTATTTCTAAACTTATACTTTCAAGATACTTCTCAGCCACATTCAACATTTTTATTTTATTTTAATTTAATAGTTAATAATAATGATAATTTTATACTTATGGTTTTATTCAAAATTGTATAACTTAAATTTATTTTTCTACACATGTATATCAAATACCTGATAATCTATTGTTTATAACTTATCTATGATATTAGATAATTTAATGGTGTGTACATAATGTGACATACTTATATTTATTTTTAAATAGTAAAATAATGACTATTTTTAGAGCCAAACTATTGCATTCATTTCAGAAAAATATTTATTATAAAAAAGGATTTTTGATTTTTCTTCTATAAACCTGGTTATAAGTTATGAAATAAAGATAGTTTTATTTATTGAAAGATTATGTTATCTGCTATGAGAGGTTTCACTTATGATGTTGAAAATATTCCATTGGTCATTGTAGTATCAAAATAAATGTAATACAATAAGTTTTTATAGTTAATTTTATAATTAATCTAAAAAAATCTGAAGTATTGTATTTACTTTGATTTGTTATTCTACTGAATTAAGATTAAAAACAAGTATGATGAATCAACATTTCTTGAGACAATGGTTTAGATGAGATCCATTTTATTTATAATTTAATGTTGATTTCTCTATCCAGTCACATGATTTTTTACACTTTGATCGCTGATTTGTTTATATTTCATTATTTATTATATATTAGATGTTCTAAGTGTAACCATACTTTGAATTAAGATTTAAGTACATTGAAGTTTTATGATAAATATTTAATACATTATGAAATTTAATTCAATTTCAATTTTCTAAGTATTACTATTTTTAGTAATCTATTTTTCTTTAAAATATGAACATTATTTAACTGTTTGAATAACATTTTGTATTGCTGTAATGTGGGAACAAAAGCAAAATGAAAAAAAAAAAAAATTTGTATTACGTAAATAGTAAAAAAATAAAAATAAACAAAAGCTTGTAAATGGTTAATACTATATTAGTTTTTTTTTATGAAATAAACTATTAAATCAGACTTATACAACTTAGGAGGTAACTCAGTTACCAATTTTTAAAATATAGATCTTAAAAATGTGTATAATTGATCAATAATCAATGAGGTTTCAATAACTGTTATTTTTATATTTGGTATTAACTAATAATTTTTATTAACTCAAGGATATAAATTGTTAAATTAAAAAAATTTATACTTATTTATAACATTTTGATTTAATTATTTTTCAATGACTAATTTGTATTTATAAATATAGTAAATTGAGTTGTATTATATTATTTATTTGATTTTTCAGTTCCTTATTTTATAATTACATTTTTTTACTAAAGTCCTAAAGTAAATTAATGTTATTGAGTTCAACCAATAAATTATTGTAGATTTTGAACATGTTTAATCGTAGTAGACTATTGAAATTATACTTATATTTCACTTAGCTTTAAAGCTAAATTAAATTTGTATTTAATTAATATAAGTATTAAAAATAGTTTCATTTTATCTTAACTGTATCAAAATCACGTAACCCACTAATATTTGAGTACGAATACACCAGCTTACAGTTATATTTATTACTGCTTTTAAATAATAAATATTTGGTTATGCTTATCAATAATATTAATTAAAATGTATCAATATATATATATTTTTTTTAGACTTCACCACAACAGTAACTGACAGTTCATCATTAATTCAATCAGTTCCAAATCAACATTCGGGACAAAAACATTTAGAAACTATGGCAAATCAAAACAGTAGATCAAGTTTAACCATCCTACGACAAACATTGCTACCAATTGTATTTGCTTTGTTTATGATACTTATGGTTGTAATCATTCTTCTAGAATCAGATTTTGATATTATTGCTACCATTAGAAAAGCACCAGAAATCGCTGATTTCAAAAAAAATTATTATGAACCAGGCAAAGAATTTTTAATGAGGCGTTTTATCAGGTCTAAGACTTTTTAATATTTAAAATAACATTTTCAATCACATTTTTTAATAGCTTACACTCTTGGGTAGGAAAATTAGATTTGGATTTCAAACCTTTTTTTATATGTGTATTGTAAGGTGATGGAGTTTATTAAATACTGAACATATTTATTTACATATAACGTCTGTGCGTGTGCTCAACATTTTAATAACATTTAACAAGAATTTGATCAAATCATAGCATTTATGTTTTTATACAAAATAATTCACATAGATTAATGCATTTATTTAATCTAATCATTCCAAGGATTTGCGTGATTTTATGATAATCATTGAGCTTTTACTATACTACTACTAGTTTAATATTTATGTGTTACAGAGCTTTTGGTTTTAATTTTAAGTGTATATGTGCTGTATCGTATTTAAAACATTTTCTAATAAAATGTGAAGGTGCCGCATGAATTTGCATAATATACTAATACGAATTTTTTTTTTAGTGAAAAATCCATTTTGGTTTTGGTACTTTAATAAATATTGGTGCTTAAACTTATTGTGAAGTTGCTAATTTTAAATATGTCCCAAAAGTACCTAAGCACTTAATTATTTTTCAAATTCGAACAAATGCAATTTTCATAATTGTTGAATTTCATTATATTCATTAAAATGTATGAGAATAATACATTTTTAGAACTATTCACTCAAAATGTACCTTTTCCCTTTTTTATTAGTTCTATATATTTGAGTGAACATAATACTTAATTATGTTTATACCTATTTTTTGTTTCTACCTCTTTATGTTTATCATGTGTGAAATTGAATTCTGTTTAAATATTGACAATATTTTAATTTCATACCATTATTTATATTAAATATTCTAAATATTATTTATGAAATATAAACATAAGTTAAGCAGTGAACAGTTAAGCAGTTTAGTAATTAGCTTACATTTTTAAAATTTACTTTAGGGTGTAAGTAATTTACAGTAATAATACTAGTCATTTTTGGGTAATATGATATATATTATATGTTTCTATTAAAAACTTATTTTTGTTGGTTTTTTTTTTCTATTGTTGATTTATACCTATAATCATTAATTTACTGAAACTACTCTTAATTAGTGTGTTAGTCATTGATATAAATTGATTAAAAGTTGATAAAAGATTACATTCCGATATTATTATCTATTTAAATGATATTTTTAATAGTAGGAATATTCTATTATTTCGGGCTTTAATGCATAAAAAAATAATAATTTAAGTTCTTTAAATCCAGGTTGGCTAAGATTTTCTTAACTCTGGAAATTAAGTTAGTGTTAAAAATATACTTTTAGTTAATAGTCAATTTTTCATTTAATTTTGTTAAATCTTATCTAATGAAATTGGATTGAATACTGATTGATACTTTTAATCTATAGATCCATGTTTTGGTGTAGCCTTTCTGAAAATTACATTTTTTTTTTTAACTTTATTGTAATTATTATTCATTATTTTTATGTTATGCATAATTACATGGTTATTAAATGTTATTTAAAATTAATTCTAGTTTTTAACACTTTAATGCCCAAACTAGTGAATAATAGATATTTATTTAGGACCTATCCTATTATAAACAGGATTTCACTGTTATTAATTTTAATTTTTAATATATATATATATATATACTTTTTTTCTAGAACACTTTGGTAGTTATTAAAAAAGTTTAATTTAAAATTATTATCATATTTAAATCTTACTTTATGAACATTCCCTAAAGTTTAATCGTAGATGATTAAGTCTACAATAATTTTCAAATATATTTTGAATCATAATATTTATAATAATTGTTTTATTTTTTAATATATGTTAAATTCTTTTTCTATTGTACTTAATTATAAATTAATAATAATATATAATACGTAATAATAAGTTCTCGAAGATGAAGAGTTGGTGTTGGGTTAAAATTATAGTTATTAAATTAAGGTTTTTGCTCATAAAAATGTAATACAATCTTTGGATTTTGGTGTTAAGGATATATGTAAATTTCAATTGTTATTCTATATTTTCCATCCAAAATCTACATATCATCTGTTATTCAGTCCGGCCGATTGATATACTATTGACTACTATGTACTAGTTACCAAACATTCCAATTTAATTATTTTTGTGATCTCTAGAAACCAAAATTTAAAATAAAAAAAAAAAGAAATTATAGGTTTGAAATTCAGTTTTTGACTTTTATTGTTTTTCAAGTATAATTTTTATTTAATACAAAATTTACATGCATTTATATTTATTAATACTGTAATATGTATGTGAATTATAACTATTATTATTATTGATATAAACCACTATTTTTCTACATTTTTGTACTTAATATTCATTTTGGTGGCTTTGTTATTTATTATGATTTTATTTTTGTTTTAAATATCATTATTAATAATGTGCATTTTTTTTGTTTTAACATATTTTATAACTTAAAATTTCCACTTCTGTTTTTGTATTATCAATTAGAATTGTTTTGCTTGTAGATTTCAATAGAACATTATAAAATTATTTACTATTTTGTATAAACATTTGTATTTGATTAGGTATAAGTTATTTTTCTAGAGTTAAATATCATTTCAATTAATTAAGTACAATAAATACTTATTAAGGGTTTAAGAGAGTGGAAGAATATTAATTTACAAATATTAATTTATATCTCTATGAACAAATAACTATATGAATAAAGTTAAAATTTTAAAATTAAATTCATAATCATCGTTCATATAATTTATTCAATGATTGCCAGTAAAAAATATATTGAAAGTTACAAAGATTTATTATGCACATATTTTAATAAAATATTTATTTACTTTGCATGTTTTTTCCTTATAAGTAAATGAAAAAAAAAATTCCTTGTTTAAAAGTTATAATGCTACTTTTTTTAAGACAAAATGTTATAATAATAATTTTTATTACATTTCTTTCTATAAATGTTTTGTTCAAATGATAAAATAATTATATTTTTTTAATCAATAGGGGCTTCAGAATGAAATATATTTCATAATAAAAAAAAAAAAAAAAATGTTATCTGATAACCTTTAATAATATTTAATGTTTATTTTTATGGGTGCTTGGAGTGCATGTATTATAAAATATTTATTATGATAATTTTTTAAAAAGATGTTATGGTTCTTCCATCCTCTACAGACCCTTAACTCAAAAACTGTGTTGTCTAGTCTTGATAAATTTTTAACTGTTTTTATATTTGTTTAATAGGATAATATTTTATTGTTGTACTTAAGTTTTACCAATCATAAAATTTAATATTAAAAAAAAAAAAAAAAAAAAAATGTTACTGGTGTGCTGCAAGATAATATTACTTAAATCTCACAATTTGTAATTTTGGTTTCACAATTATGTATTTCAATAATTGTTTTAATTCAATATTTTAAGTGTGTTGATTTATTTAGTTTATGCATTTTTATTTTAAATACATTTTTTATAGACCTTATTATCTGCATTGTTGATGGTGGTGGATTACGTTTGTAATTTATATGTAACCTAATTTAATTTATTTTTCATTTTTATGGTGAATGTTGAAAAACATGATTTTTAGTTATTCGTATTTTATAAAACAATAAAGTAAATTCATTTTTACAGTGTTGACAATCAACCATGTATGCTTCTAGGTTCCAATGTCTTTTAATTATTTTAATTTCAATAATTTGACAAGATGGATAAGAAACCAAAATATTGAAATTACAACTATATAATTTTTATTTTTTTCATATATATATATATTTTTTCCAAATTAATTAATTATTTTTATAATTATCATGATAATTAAACAAAATATTTTAAACATATATTTTTTTAGGTAAGTAGCTACTTGTTCCCAGTTTTAACAAATTGTCAATAGTTATTTTTAATCACATTATGTTTTTCATTGATGAATAAAAATAATTTAAAATTATTGAAAATTATTAAAAATATTTTTCAAGCATTCTATATGAAGTGTAAATTTGCTATTAACTATTTTTACAATTTTAATCCTTGACCTTAGCGTTGAATTTTAAAAATAGTGGTTATATATTTTTACTTCAATTTCAAGTTTTTAAATGGAAATTTCTATCTCATTATTTTTGAGCAAAAAAGGTAGTTAAATGGTGGTTAAAAAGTCATAAAAATCTCCGTATAACATTTTTTTAGTTATTTTTGATAACATTTTTTTTGGTTGAAGAAGTTAAATATTATGAATTATTTGGTAAGTACCTACTTATCTACGTACATTGTCTGGATCATGTACCTAATATTATTATTTTATAAACTAAAGTGGTTTGTTGTTACCAAAAGTTACATCTTTTATTATTCACAAATTTATTTACAGACGATTAACCAGTGTTACATATAAGCAATAAGCAAATAAAGGCAGGAGCTCTCATTTCCTTTAAAATTTAGAGTAAATATTTGTTAGGGTTCAGAATTGAAAAAAGTTAAAATTTATTTGATTATTGTGAAAATATGATAAATATGATCTTTACAATAAGGTATATTAATATTGTTACAGGTATTCGAAGTTATATTTGTTGAGGAGAATAATTTTTTTTATTTATTTAGTGATAGATGTTTAGAAAAACAACGGGTTCAATTGGGAGGGTGGATATCTCGAGTCACAATCCTTTTTTTCGGCCCGAGTGAAGGTATTTTATTATTTTTTGTTTATTTAAAAATACATATTTTATAGGAATTACGATAAATACGTTTTACTCCTCGTATGGTGTAAACTTATTAACTTGATGAAAGTTGCAGGATCGTGCCGATATATTCGAATATTTTATTATATAGTATTAAATAGTTGGTACCTATGCATTTATCGTTAGCTTTCTGCGCACTATTTCTCTAAAAAATAAGTGCCATGTATATAATCCAAGCCTTTTGACTATAAATGTAATGTTTAAATGTAAAATGATTTTATTCTCAGTGTAGATATATTGTTTGTACTTCTAACTTCATATTCGAGAATTTGGCTCTGTTCAATTTAAATAATTAAAATATCCTAGTTATAATCTACACAAATCTTACATGAAAGTTCAATCGAAATATTTTATTATTTATCTAATATAGTTCTTTAAAATAATAGTGAATCTTTGTCCTATGTTAAAACAATTATTATGACAAAGCTTACGTAAATTAAAGGCACCAATTTACGTGTTAATTGATAGATAATGCAGCTACGACCAATTGGTTGTCCCTATATATATATATATATATATATATATATATATTTACAAATCACTGATTATTAAAGTGGGTATTTTAAGATATTTTTCTGACTTATGATGTAGGTATTATTATACTTATGAGTATTATTATAAATTACAACAATACACAACGGAATGTAATGGAATGAAACCTTTAAATCCGTTAAATTCAAACCTATTCCCTTAATAGAAAAATGTTTTTGCAGATTGACCTGTGCGTGTTAACAGGAATTCTTCAATGTTTTCAATTTCTTCATTTTCAACCCGTAAGCAAATTCTGAAGTTTATTTCTAAAACCTATAAACACTAGGAATGTTGAAATCATATTTCTAATAAACACGTGAGACGTGCCAATGTGTTTTTTTTTTTTAGTGTCATAACTAGGGATCGAATGTTGATGCGTTTTACATTTTTTTTTTTTTTAAACTTTTTAGACTTTGCTCTTCCGGCCACAAATGTTTTTCATTAGCTTTTAAATCCGAATAACTAATTTTTATTTTGCATTTTTTGGTGTTTATTACTTTTTAGATGTCATATTGGAGTGAATATTATTATACCTACATTTTATTATTTTTCCTAGTATTCGATGAGTATCCGATTTTATCTCGTTGATTACAGTCGTTGCATCGTTGCATGTTATTGTGAATAATACCTTTTATACCTATCTAAATTTTATTTTTTTTTCGTAATATTTTTAAAATGACAAAAATTAAAAACGTCGGTTAGAGCTCGTCTGTGCCTCCCAATTACTTCAGTGGAATGAAGAAAAGTTTTTCCAAATATAAATATTTATAAACAGATAATCGTCGTTCATTTACTTTAAATAACATCAAATACGCTCTAATTGTACAACACAATTATTTTGATTTTTAGATAATTTGTAAGTGTTGATAAATTTATAAAACAATTATTTGTAATTTTTTATTTTCATATTTTAAGGACACTTGTTATTTTTATTCATATTTGGAGTAATCGGCATAATAGTCGATTAGAAACGTAAGAAGTGAATTAGTAAGAAATCAGTAAACATGACAAAAAATGTCAAAAAATGATTTAAAAAGTAATTAATATTAAAAAATGCAAAATTAAAATTAGTTAATTAGTTATTCGGATTTACATGCTAATGAAACACATTTATTGCCAGTAGAGTATTGTTTAAAAAGTTCCAAAAAAAATTGTAAAATGCATCAACATTCAAGCCCTATTTATAACACATAAATGTATGAAACGTAAACATTCAGGATTGTTCTATTGAAAATTATTATTGTGTCACAGTATTTTTATCATCTATTGATTTTTATATAACACAACTGACTAAACAATTTATAAATCATAAAAAAAATATTTGAAGGTATATTTTGA